CCATCCATCCATTCATTCATCCCACCCATCCATCCATCCATCCTTGCATTCATAAATCCATCCATCCATTTAGTAATTCTCATTTATTCACTAACTCTCATTATCTATTATTTAGAATTGAAAGACAGTCATCTCCAACTGATACCAGAAAGCCCAATCAAAAAGAGTCTCTTACTAATGGTTTCATAGAAGACAAGAGCATCAGCCAGGGCAGTGAAGGACAAGATTCAAGACCTACCAGTCCACAGCGAACAAGCCCAACACTGAAGGAAGTACCAGATGGAACAGTAAGCCCAACATTTGTACGAAGAGGGTCTTCACCCTCACTTCTGGAAATCCCACAACCTACTTTGACAGAGAAAGTGGAAAAAGTTTCTTTAGATGAGGTACATATTGACTTGCATATCATTTTGAGATCATTTTATTGTGTAGTTCCAAAAATTATCCATACCCCCCTTACGGAGGAATTTTTTTAATATGCCCCCATACCCCCCGGAAATTCCAATTTTTATTCCATACAAACTCTGTAATTTTTGTTCTTTCTCTGACCCCCCTACTCTTTGGAAATTCCAAATTCCTCTGTGGGGTGGGTATGGATGATTTCTGGAACTACACATTGTTTTATTGTTAACCTAAGGTTTGAATGTTGGGTCTTACTGTGAAATAAAATAATTTATGTAACTTCCATGACATTCGCTCAACATACTCTACAGTTGGTATCACTAGCATAGGGTGAGAGAGGGGGGGATGTGACCCCCAAAAGTTTGCTTTTGGCACCAAAATTTAATTAATCGATGTGGGATTCCCGTGGATTTGGCACGAAAAGGGTACATAAGCCTCCCCCATAATTGAGACTTCACCACGCCCCTGACTAGTATTTGCTATCGACACACAACACTCAACTCACATGTTGATTTTTATCGGGGGAGGAAACCAGAGAACCTGTAGAGTATGTTACCCAAACTAGCTTCTACTGACAATTCTAATGATAATAATAATAATAATATTTCTAATAATAGCTCTATTTTTTTACGAAAAAATATCGTAAAAAAGACTTTGTAGGCAGTTATCTGCAGTTATCTCGGCCAATCTAAACAACGGGAAAAATAATTTGAATGATAATCACAATGGCTAGCCTCCTACACAGATGCTCCTAGGGCGACGTCACGCAACGTGTAGGGAAAACGCTGCGTGACTATGTAACGTCTAGTTAAAAGAAGGCTATTCATTAAAGGCTAGAGCAGGATATGCAAAGATAGCTAACGCTATCACATTTGTTTTCAGATGAAAGTCATGCGCATAAAGAAACAGCAGAAGAAAAAGGAACGAGAGAAGGCCAAACAGAAAAAGAAACCAATTGAAAAACAAACGGTAGCACCATCGACGATGGGGGGTGCCACTGGGGCAGTTATTGACCGGTTCAGGAAACGTACGCTACAAGAATATCATGACACTGTAAAATTGTGTGACATGCATGGAGTACAGTTGAGCAAGCCACTATTAGGGAGAGGTGAGATTACATGTTGAGCACGAGAAAGATCGCTTGCTTGCTTGCTTGTCCGTTCGTCTATATAGAGGTTTTGCACCACACGTGCCGGCGCCATAATCCAGCTTGGGCTGTCTGTGGTTAGATGGCAGAACAATACAATCCCTGTGCTCTCGGGAATTGAATTCTTTCTTATGTAAAACGATTGTATTGTTCCTGCCATCTAACATGGCTGCCGTCACGTGATGGTGCAAAACCTCTATTAAAGCAGCCGTTGGTTGAAGTCTTGGGTTAGAGCTCGGCCGGACCAACACTCAGCATCTTAGATTAACAAGGTAGAAGGTCCCGTCGTTGCTCTGACGATATTTGCAACTGGTTAGTTAGACCTTCGCTCCCGCCGTGGCTCGGATAACGATGCATTGAGAGACGGTTGTTGTTGTCGTTGTCTCTTGGTTGTCTTTTTGGGTCTGGCGTCTTTACTGACAATGTTTTGAAGGAAATTTCTAATGAACAGAACCCTAAAGATAAGTTATTTACACTTCCGGTTGACTTCGCCGTCGTAGATTTTGCAAATCTTGAAGTCCTTGTTTTTGGAAGGAATGAGTGAATGGTTGATTGATTGACGGATAGATGGATGGATGGATGGATGGATAATAGATTAGTATTTTGGGTGGGAAAGAAAAATGGAAGGAAGGATTGATAGATGGAGGGAAGAGAAAATGAATGTATTAATGCATGAATATCAACATGATTTAGAGCTGTGCTCCGGGGTCACACATGGACTGTATAGCGGCTGCCAGAGGCGCATTTAACATTCTTACAGTTCGACCTCGTTGAGCTGCGGCACTGCTGTACTTGCGGTGGAAATAAGCGATGACGAGTTCTTTTTTTTTTTTTTTTTTTTTAAAGTTTTTGATGACAAGTTTTATTTATTTTATCAGTTCTCCTTCAACCCGAGGACAAGCCAGTCGCACAGTGCCTCCCTAGAATAAGACAGCCCGGTATCTTCACCATATCAACACGACATCATGTACCATCATCACGGCCTCGCGATTCATCCAATACACAATTAGCTGACTGGATATTTTAACAGGATTTATTAGTCCAGAATTACGCTGATATACATTAATCTACGATCGAAAAATTATATACAAGCTGTAAAATATATTCTGTGAAAATTAACTTGTATAACTTTAAGAAGGAATAAAATTATTGGAATTTGGTACTGCAGTTGCAGGCCTAGGAACGGAGAGTACTTTTTAAGTGTGTGTGTGTGTGTTGGGGGGGGGGGGGGTGGACTAAGAGGCACTTTTTAAAAGGGGGCGTTACCTCTGTTTTTCTTTTTAACAGAACTCAAACTAACACAAAATAATGC